ATCTATCATCTATCTTATTTGCCACCTTTTCCTCTAAGGAGCTCCAGATGTCATACATGGTTCTCCGCCTCCTTATATAATCCACACAACCACCCTGTGAGGTAGGTTACACTGAGAAACAGTGACTGGCCCAAGGTCACCCAGTAAGCTTCATGGCAGAGTGGGGATTTCAACTCTGATATTCCATATCCCAGTCCAGTACTCTGACCACTGCAACACACTGGCTCCCTGAACATCTTGTAGGTTGGCAAGGAACAAAATAAGTATTAAATGAGAATTAATGAGTGCCAATATCCAAGTTTGGGCACATTCTCTCTTTGGTGAGAGAACCCCAGCAGAGATTTTAAATAACAAAATATGTACCAAACTAAAGCATGGAAATATAGGCTGTTAGACCTTTAGATTGTGCCCTTGTGTCCCTCTTCCCCCAGCCTAGAAAAAGACCACACACTTGGTAAATTAAAAATGCACTCCAATCTATTTTACTGAAGAGAGTGTGAATGATTGGAAATCTGCAATAACTTGGTTGCTAAGGTGTGGCTCACTTCCTGATCCACCTCCTTTATTCTTGCTCTCTGATTTGAGACATATAAGCTATCTAGATTATTTGGTTCTCCACAGTAGTGTTATAAGTAGAGGATCCTGCCCTGCCCAGTGACTAAAAGGCAACAATGGCTGCTTCACAACCTGAGTGTTTTGGATGGAGCTGCGAAGTCATCTAAGTGTTTCTTTGCTTTTTGTCAAACCCAAATGGGAAATAACAATTTTTCCTTCCCTCATTGGAGAGGCACAGATGAAACAAAATTAAATGCTTAGGCAAGTTGGACTACTCGTTTAAGAATTGGGTGCAGGCTGGGAGGAACCCATATAGACTCTTAAGAGCATGGATGAAAATACTAACATTTGAAGTTGAGGACATGACGTGGTGGAATGCCGCAGCAGGATTTGCCAGCAGGAGTTCGGGATGGGTACATAAATTATCACTGAGCACTGCAAATTAGCATAACTCAATGCTAAATAAAACCTATCCTAATGCTAGAGTCTGCTGACCGGGCCCTTTCTGCAGCAACAATGATAACCCCTTGTCCAACCATAACAATAGATTCTGCTGCTTGTCTTCTCTGGCTGCAGGCTGGAGAGTGCTGGAAAATTGAGGGGATGGAGTGATGCCCCAAGTGGGGAAACGTTACAGCACTTTGGACTTTTCAGCTTAGAAAAAAGGCAAGTAAGGGGTGAGTGCACCATAAGTCCATAAAATGATGCATGACATGGAGCAGCTGAATGTCAAGCAAGACTAGTTTTCCTCCTTTCTCATAACACTGGAAGATTCAGGATAGATCAAAGAAAGGACTTATTCACACAGCGCTTACTGAAACGATGGAACTCACTTCCCCAACAAGCAGCAATGCTCACTTAGGGTGGCTAAAGGAGGATTAGACAAATTCTCAGGGACACAGGTGGCGCTGTGGTCTAAACCACTGAGCCTTGGGCTTGCCGATCGGAAGGTCGGCAGTTCGAATCCCCGTGACGGGTTGAGCTCCCGTTGCTCGGTCCCTGCTCCTGCCAACCTAGCAGTTCGAAAGCACGTCAAGTGCAAGTAGATCAATAGGTACCGCTCAGGTGGGAAGGTAAACGGCGTTTTCATGCGCTGCTCTGGTTTCGCCAGAAGCAGCTTAGTCATGCTGGCCACATGACCCAGAAAAACTGTCTGTGGACAAACGCCGGCCTGTAGAGCGAGATGAGCGTGCAACCCCAGAGTCGTCCGGGACTGGACTTAACTGTCAGGAGTCCTTTACCCAGACAAATTCAGGGAGGACAATAAGGCTCTCCATGCTCCTAGTCATGATAACTGTGCCCTGACTCCATGGTCAGAGGCAGTACTGCTTCTGAATCCGTGGCTGGAGACCCAGCAGGGGGCAGTTCTTGTGCTCAGCTCCGGCTTGTGGGTTCCCCACTGGGGCATTCGGTTGGCCCCTGTGAGAACAGGATGCTGGACTAGACGGGCCATTGGCCTGATCCAGCAGGCTCTTCTTTTCTGTTAGTTCGTTCCTATTGTGGTCTTTGAAATGCATCTTACAATATGTTTTGTTCTGAGATTCTTGTGTACTTTATGGTTTTTATTTCTAGTCTATTGACTGAAATAAACTTATGAATAAAGAGGATATAGTCTTTCTCTCTCTCTCTCTCTCTCTCTCTCACACACACACACACACACACACACACACAGCTCCAGACTTGGATTGGGGCCATAAGTAATCTGGATCTAGAGTAGCCATTGCTCAACAGCTGCTTCCCTTAACTGTTCTTATATTTTCCAGACATCTGAGGTTTTGCGTGCTCTTGTTGGGGTGGAGTAAGGAAATGGAGGTTAAATGTTAAGCAGACCTATGAAATTTGCATTCCTTTTTGGATTTTGGAAAAGGCCACCATTAACTCAACCTTGCCTCCTCATTTGCCAAAACTGTGTGTTACTACTATTAGATGAAAAATCTCTTAATGACAAAAGATTATGTTGATTATCACTCAGAAGTAGCATTCATGGCCTTCCTTTGTACATTTCAGAATTATGCCTGTGGTAGATTGACTTAAGATGTTTGCTAAACAGGGAAGAATAGAGCAATCATTTCTCGAGACACGCATCGATTTCTCCAAACACCCACCTTGGCTCTGGAATCCATTCAAATATTTCCACTAAGCACAGCAGTTCATAAGCTATTTAAACTGCTGTTTTAAATTGTAACAGCACTTCCATCTAGACATAGAGGAAACGGGAGCTATGTCTTGGGACTTGGTCTACTGTTGTTGAAACTTCACTATGCAAGAACACCCCTGAGGAGGAAATATCGCTGGAATTAGAAGCCACAATTATTCCAAAACTAACTGGTTCTACAAGAAACTGAATATATAACAAGGGTTCAGAAATTCTAATTTTCTAACATTGTACAAGACTTCAGCAAGGCACAGGGACTAGCACATGAATATGTTCACCCAAAGGTTTTGATGCACATTAGCAGTTCAGTGTTTGGACACTACTAACTCTACTGAGGGTGTCGTCATCATTTGGATTGTGATCTAGAGAATATGTGAAGATATATAATACCAGATTTCCACAAGCACTCGTTTTCACACAGTCTACGGTAAACAAACGGTTTAAAAAACGGAAAAGGAAGGTCCTCAGCTCAGTGGTAGAGCACCTGCTTTGCATGCAGGTGGTCTCAGATTCAATCCCCAGCATGACCAGATGGGGCTGAGAGAGGCCCTTGTCTGAAACCCTGGAGAGCGGCTGCCAGTCAGTGTGGACAATACTGAGCTAGAGGCACCACTGGTCTGACTCAGTCTAAGGCAGCTTCCAGGGTTCCTAATGCTTCTTCCTACCTTAACTGATCTACATTCCTACTCTTTCTACATTAAAAATACTGGAAACAAGTATCTTGGTGGTCACAGACCTACTGTGGTGGTCAGCAAGGTCTGGGAAGCACCACTGGTGGCATCTGAAGGGACTTAAGCACTACTGAAACACTTGATAGGGCAAACCATCCTGAACCCATTTCATGCATGCCCTCTTGCCTCCAGAGCTTCCTCAAACCTAGCCTCTAGGCACTGTGGGTTGGTATCCAAGAGACCGAGTCTTGCATCTCATGTAATTACCGTATTTTTCGCTCCATAAGATGCACTTTTTTCCTCCTAAAAAGTAAGAGGAAATGTCTGTGCGTCTTATGGAGTGAATGTGTGGTCAATTGCTGGCTCCCTTTCTGGCCCCACCCCCTGGCCCAGGCCTCCATTGTTGAATGTTCTGCAGAGGAGGCTGTTTGTTTCCCCAGCAACATGTGACTGGCGGATTAGATTATCTGTCTGGAAATTGTAGAAACGGCTCCCTTTCCTTTTGCAAAGAAGCTGCAGAACTGTGAGTTGAACCCCATAAAAACAGGATTTTTTCCCTTTGCAAAGTGAGCTCAACAACTTTGAGCAGATCCTCAAAAAAGGGGGACTTTTCCCCTTTGCAAAAGAAGCTGCAGAACTGTGAGCTGATCCTCAAAAAGGGGGCTTTTCCCCTTTCCTCCTCTAAACACTAGGTGTGTCTTATGGAGCGAAAAATACGGTAGACTAGGTGCAGTTTCCTGCATTCCAGCCGTTCCTATTTGCTAGTGGAAGTTCCAATTCTGGTGGTTCTTTCTCCAGCAGTGGATGGTGTCCATTGGGACTGGCAGGGCATAAGCCAAGGAGACCAACAGGAGGTGGCACCAAGAGCCCATGGCAGGCAGAGTCAATTATTTTCTTTTTATAATATTTTTTATTAAATTTTCAAATTTTACCAATTCTTTTAGAATAAGTTGACTTCCCACCCACCCTTCCATTGTGTTCTTTTATTCCCATATAAAGATGCTATGTTAGTTATATTTTATCCATTATATATGTTATTCTAAATTATTAAACTGCAAATTATCATTTGTTGCTATACTTCAAATCCTGCATACGCTTTAACATAACCATGATCTTTTTTCAAATATTCCACAAAGTATTTCCATTCATCTATTTTATTTCTCATTTTGTTCTCTCATTCTCTAGTCTAGCCATCTCAGCATATTCCATCATCTTCGTAAGTCAATCTTCTTTCATTGCAACTTCTTCTTTCCATCTTTGTGTGTACTCTTGTTGCTGCTGTTCTATCACACGTAAACAGATTAAACAGTTCCTTCGGAAGCTCTGGTCTAATTATACCTAACAGAAAGGCCTCAGGTTTCTTGGGAATCACCACTTGAAACATAAAAAAACCCAACTCATTATAAATCATTTCCCAATAGACAGGGGGAGCCGATTAATGCTAGTTTTGCCGACGTGCTTCTCACTGCTGAGTTTGACAAGGGCAGCACTGAGACACAGGAGGGGGGAGCTGGCAGGCAGTTCACCCCCTGGACTGGTTTAAGACGACTCAGAAATTTCAAGTGGCCCAAAATGCAAGGGCTGGATTACTGGCAGGGGTTCTGCTTAGATCCCACATAACCCCTAATTTAAAACAGTTACACTGGTTGCCGGTTTGTTTCAGGGTCCAATTCAAGGCACTCACATTTGTGTTGGAAGTCCAACATGACGCAGGCTTCACCTGCCCTTCCCTACAGACCCTCTCAGGTGCTGAGGTCAGAAAAAAGGGGGCCCTCTTGGTAGTTCCTCTGCCCTCAGAGCCTTGGGGGGGGGGGAGCAGCCTGGGAGAGGGCATTATCTGGGGTGACCTCCACTTGTGATACTCTGCATGCACAGAGGTGTATCTGACACCTTCACCATACAGCTTTTGGGTGATGCTGAAAACACCCCTCTTTATCCTAGCTTTTGATACTTGAGGTATATATTTTAGGACCCACCTTAGTATTTGTGATTGTGAATTGTTCTAAACAATGGCTGTACCCCACTCTGGAACCTTAGGGTAAAGAGTGGGTATTAAATGATGGAGATGAATAAGAAGACAGGCAGGTGACGGCTGGGTGAGGGCAGATTGAGGTCAGTGGGGCAGAGCCCCATTCCCCTTAATGGACTACTCTTCCCAATCTTGCATTTTGCAGAGATTTTATTAAAATGCATTACTGCTAGTTGCCATCCTTCAGGTTTCCGCTCCTTCCCCAGGCTCTCCAGAAGTTCAGCCCTTAAAGCTGGGAGGAAATAATACATCTTGATTAGTAGTCGGCACTCGTCTGCCCATGAGTCGCACTGACAGAGTGGGGCTCTTTGCAAAAGGGCTTTCATGCAGCTCCACACTGTGCTTTAAAGTCCCGAGAGTTGGGCCGATGACGCCTGGTGATGTCATCCCAGGATGGGGAGATAAGGATGTGACCTGCCAGCAACAAAATGTTCCTCGCTCCTGCTCTAAACTCTGCAGCAGTGTGAAGACTTTCTTGTTCAGGAAGGCCTTTGGTTGCTTGTGAACTTTGATTGATTAGTTTTCACTTCTATTATGGCTTTAGCTTCCTGGGTCCTTTTTCTTTTCCATTTATGTAAATGATGGCAGTGGTGCACCTACTCTCACTCAGCTGTCATTCCTGCATTTCGAGAAGCTTGGGATAGGTGACCCGTGGGGTCCTTTTCAGCCCTACACCTCTCTTATTCTGTGATCCATTCATTTCTGGTTACTTGCACAATTTTGGATGGGAGTTTTATAGTAAGAACAACAAGAGCTATGAGTTTCTTTTCTGTCATTGCACCTGCACTCAGGAATACCCTTTTTCTACCATATGTGAAGTGCTGCCTATAAGTTGCTTCCCCCTGACCCATAATGCTGTGCTCTTCTGCTACTGAATTTCTGTTTTTAATTATGCCCTTTTATCTTTTTTTATGTTGTATTCCTGCATGCCACTTAGGCTCGTCTAAATATTAAGCAGTTTTAAAATGTTATTTAAATAGAATAAGTGGAATTATTTAAAAGGTGCTGCCAAGAGACGCAGAATATCAGAGTTCCTAACCAGACTTCCATTTCGTTCCCTCAGAGCGGCTTTAGAGAAGGGAGGGCTCAGGACTTGGCCATGGACTCTTCTGCTCTTCAGGGTTCATTTTACCTGCTGATCTCTTTTGGTTGTTCATAGTAATTACACATAATGCAGAGATACTATCACTACTAATTAATTCCAATATTTACTAATGCTGCTTTGGGTGTTCATAAAACTGAAAAGACAGGACAGAAATGGTTTTAAAATGTAAATAAAATTAAAACACACCCACAATTAAATTCTCCGTAAAGAAGGCTCATAGCTGCATTATAGGTGTCTGGGGAAACAGAACTGGCAAGTCAGTTGATTCCTGTCCAATACGCTGCAGATTTTCCTGTTGTCACTTCATTTTCCAATGAACTTTGCCATGAAGAAATATCGAACTATTTACAAATATCTTAATGGAAAATTCCCTCAACGATCCAAGCCTCGAAGCCTGATTATATTTCCTGTGCTTACCTTCCAGAGCAAAACCAGATGTGTAAGGTGCACGCAGAGGGATCCTAGCATTTCCTTCACCAAAAACTGAACTCTCTGATCCTTCAGAACTTACATACATGCCTTGCTTTAGGCTTAAGGGAAAGCACATGTGCTTGGCGGAGGGGGGGGGCAGGCAGTGTGAGAAAGTGAGGCTGGTTTAACTCAAATTCATTCTGCCAAAGCAGCACTGAAGGCTCCGTGGGTCAAGGCTGGTCATCGTTCAGCTTTAAAATACACCTTTAAAAAAATGTTTGCACAGATCAGTTTGTCAGTTTAAAATTGTTTCAGTGCTATGATTGCAAGGAATCCCACTGTTGAGGCAGAAGATATTCATTCTGTAGATTGATTTATGTACAAAGCTCTCCCTGTAGCCAGTGGATAGAATTACTGGGGAGGAATGCCAACACTGAGCAACTTAAGCCTAGGGAACCTACCCTTGATCTAGCACTGGTTGGAAGAGCGCATGCTAACCAAAAGTCGATTCCTTCTGCTTCTTAGGGATGGAGGCAAAATTCATTAGGACACATTTTTATTTTTTTATTTTTTTATTTTTTATTAGTTTCAATTCATTATACAACACTAAACATTAAGACAACATAAAAGACAAAACAAAAAGAGAGGGGGGGAAAAACGACACAGAAAAGAGAAGCATTGCATAACATAAAACACCAACAAATTAAACTTACAATAACTAAATAACTAGATCACACAACAGTAATTGACTTCCCTTCAACTCGGTTTCGGTATATGTTGCAAAGGGTTTTCTATCTGCAGTTTCGTTTTCTCAAGACTCTACGTCGCAGACGTTACATCAAGCCTACTGTGATTTTTAAATTTTTTACATCTGTTTCAATATAAGTCTAAATTTATTCCACTCATTATTAAACTTTGATCCTTTTTGGTTTCTTATTTTCTGTGTCATTTTTGCCAATTCTATATAATCAAATAATTTAGATTGCCACTCATTTATGGTTGGGATTTTTGATGTCTTCCAGTTTTGTGTTCACCATTACTTCTTTTATTTCTTCATCTTTGGTGTCCCATTCAAGCAACTGGCTGTACATTTTTGATAGGAGTTTTGATTTGTTTTCTAATATTTCTACCTGGAATCTGGATTTTTTTTCGTTCATCCCACTCTTTTTATCTTCAGCCCATAAAGCATTGATTTGATGAAATTGGATCCAGCCTGTCAGTTTATTCTTTATCTCTTCATATGGCCTAATCTTCCATCCATTTTCTGTTTTTACTAGCAAATCTTCGTAAGTCCATCTTTCTCCTTCAATATTT